CAGCAGGAAATCGAAAGCACGAGCTTCGATCAACCAATGAAGCAAGCTTTTTTGGTAGGGCAGTCCTTCTGTGTGTAGAACATTGGCTCATGCGTCCAATGGGTGGCACCTGACTGTTCCCAGTTCAGTTGGAACAGAAGCCACCAACATTCATTGGTGGGGGAGCTGACTGAAGTCTCCCATTACCTCTGGTAATCATGTGACGACCGTAGGAGGTAAAATAGAATTTTATTCTTCTACCCTAGGTGGTGCACTTTCACATTGGCCATAGGGGGATACTTGAATGCCTCTTTCTACGTCAATTTCTTCTTCAATAGCTGGTCCTATTCTTCCAACAGCTAAATCTCGGCTGGTCTTTCTTAATTTAATTAAGGTGAGGATGGCACGTGCTTTCCTAAATCCATTTCACCGGGTGTTCACTCAACACGAATTTCATCCCGAGGTGACTTCGCTAGACTTGCTTCTAGTCTGATAGGAAATCCAACTCACAGTCGTAAGAACTGAAGGCAAGGCCTAAGACCGCTTATTCCTTCTCGAAAGCTGCCCGCGAATGCCCTTCTGACTAGGCGCAGTGAGGTCGAATCCCAGGGGAAATCCCAATATCAAATCGGAAAAAGCCCCGTGGGAGAATGAGGAAAAGGTGGGGTCTTCAACTGGGGTGAAGTTAGGCGGACATGCATCTAAGGGGAAAGTCCTATCGTAGTGAAGCTTACTTGGAAGATCTAAAGATCTAGACTGATTCAATATGAGTAAGCATGGAGGTGGTTGATAGTTGAGCAGATTGGGTTGTAGTGATAGGGGGATGACTGGCATGTGATCTTTGGCCATAGAAGTGACCCTCTTTCTCCTGTGGGTAAAGACTGAGACGGATGAGAGAAGGAGATTTCAGTTAGAGGAATGCCTCCGCGAGCTATAGTAGCGTAAAGAGGAGGAATGAGGAGGATGGATCCTTTCCGGGCGATATTCCCCCTTTTCTTTATAGTAAGGGGCAGGAAGATCAAGGCTGAATCCGACCTTCTTTTCGTTTCGTTTAGGTGTGAGCCAATTTTGACTTTATAAGATCTCTCTTCGAAGGCCTCTATGCCTGTTCTCGAATCCGCAGCAATAGATGAGTGCGATTGAGCCTGCCGGCCGGTTGATCTGGTCTTTCCAGTTATATTACATGTAGAGAATGACATCCGTAGTTCCTTTATCAGTGATATGGACGCATGTTCCAGCAATAAAGAATCTCCCCAATCGACCTGACTTCCTGAGTGCCCGAAGGGAAGGGGACACGGTCGGACGTGGGCATTTCAATAATTCATATTTCCTGCTCGCCGTTATGCTATGTTATGTTTCAGTGCCATGATGGTCTGCCAGTGGCATGGTCTTTCTTCCATGTACATGTTTTTCTTGAATATTCATATGCCTAAGGGAAAGCACCCTTCCCTGAAGCTTCCCTGCCTTGCTCTTCTAAGTCCCTTTACAGGAAAGCGAATAGGTATCGACTCCCGCCTCTAATTAAGTAGTAGTGCCTTTCATTGTATGAGAGGAAACTCCCTTGGTTAATAAAAAATATGCAAAGGCAGATAGGAAGAGACTTCAAATAAAATAAAAATGAAGATAAAGCCGAGACGAGAAAGGATAAGTTGAACATAATCGTTTATGACCAGTATGACTATGGATTTCCAAGACTCAATTATTAAATAACGAAATATCATAAGAGATGACTGGTCAAGTCAGCCTCCTT